TATTGCTTTCGAAAGTTATGTTAGTGATTTTAATGCAAGAAAAAAATATGAAACATATTATTTTAGAATTAGTAATTTGTCTTTCATTTTAGTTTTTTTCACAAAATGATGATTATTTGTTTTATATGGATTGTGGCAACAAAATTTAATAATTAATCTCGCATCTGGTCTTCATATCTCTAGCAACGGCTCTGGGTGGAGTATTGAATGAACATGACAAGTGGAACATGATAAGAGAGCTTGACATGTTAGACGTGTTTTTTTTGTTGACATAAAAACGTGGCTGGAATTATAATTTTGTGAGTATAAGATTCACATTTAGTTCTCAAGGTTTAGAAGTTTCATTGGTAGAACTTGCTGTTGAAGAAACTGACAAGGAATCAATGGATAAATCACCAACCAAAGCTACAGACACTGCCCTGATTTTTGAGAATGTTTTGGATTTTGTGAATGCAAACTCTATTATGGTGGAACAACAAGGATTGCTAAGCATTACGAAGAAGAAGAAGCCTAAGTGGTCAAAATCTTTGCGGTTCAAGTTAAAAGGAAAGTCAGAGGCACACAAATTAAAAGTGGAGCTTGTGGGGTGCAAAGGGGCTGCTAGTTGGGGATGAGTATGCAAGTAATGATTTGTTTCTTATTTGCTGCTCTTACAAAAATCAGAATCAGGTCTTGGACTTTTGGGGTTGGAGAGGAAAACTTGTGTTGTCTTGTTTACAAGAATTTTGTGCTCGAGGAAAGAGGAGATTAATACATATTGGAAAGCTTCCAGCATTGTACATGATTGGAATATATTACTACTTTGGTCGACAAGGAATAAAACATGAGCACGTCAAGGCGAATTACTGATTTTCAAAGGCAGTAAAGAAAGGAGAATTAAGCTCAAAGAAACTGGTCAAAGTGAGACAGTCAAGTTCTGGTTTTGATTGGAAATGGCTTGTCGAGTGCATAGAGGTTTATTTTAGTGAAGACCAGTGCCAAGAAAACATAGGACCAATAGGATCAGCCATAACGAACGGTTCAGGACGGATATTAGACAATATGGAACAAATGGAAGAAAAA